TTAGTTTAAACGACAGAACACATGATAAGACACACCAACCCTTTGTTTGCTTTAACCTTACAGGCTGAAATGATCAGAAAGTATAAAATACAAAACTGAATCTAATATTCAGTTAATCAGTTACAAAATTTCCTTCCAACACGATTTCAGTAAAAGAACACTAAATTTTCTTAGTGAGTGTCATTTGTTGGTGTGTGCATGTAACTGCTAGTTTTAATTTATTTGATTAATTCCTCCAGTGTCGTGTCATATATTAAATTATATTATACTCCACTTATCTGCCCTGTGTTTAATGTTTAGTGTTGTGCAGAAGAGAGTTTGTTTTCGAGTTTTTAATTCAGCTGAATGATAATAATTCAAAGTTAAACAGATAAAATTCCTGCCAGTCTGCACATTGTTCCCTACAGAGCCCTACTGGGATCAGATGCTGTCAGAAGGGAGGCAGCCAAGTTTTTAATATGTAACAGATGAACTGTTTGTCTGTCATTTCCATTCCTATCTAACCAAATGTGGACTGAGATAAGACCCGAAGCCTCTCCGTCAGAGGAGTTCATTCTGATCTTCAGTCTGAGCAGAAAGTCAGGATGGAAACCTCGGGACTTTGGGTTCTTGTGCTTCGTTTGGTTTTAGCAGCGGGGTTGAATGCTGGTAAGATTATTACACTTTCAAACCAGGCAAAACAAATGCCTTTATTTTAAAACTGCTGCTGTTTTTATTTATTAGAATCTCTTAGACTGACTTCATCTATAAGTCAAGCAGTACCAGAACCAGTACCAACAATATGATACTGTGTCAGCAGGCTTTATGTCCTCTTGCATTGAAGGTACATTTTTCTTGGTGTCACAGGGTTTATAATCATTTCTTTATGAATTGACATGAAACTGATGAACTGACAACAATGGATTTCTAAAGCACCAAACTGGGTCCTTCATACAAACAGAACAGCATAATAATATAATTTGTTCAATGAATGAACAATGAATAAATGATACTGACTTTCAGTAAAATGGAAAGCACATGGAACAAGGAAGTAGAAATTGATGAGCAACTTACAGTGGTTTGCAAAAGTATTCATACCCCTTGAACTTTTCCATATTTTGTCACATTACAACCACAAACATAAATATATTTCACTGGAATTT